TGCCAGAGTGACCTGAAGGGATTATTTATGACAAGAGTCCAACCTTAAATATCTGCGGGCAGATAACTGTTATTCTTGGCTGCCTGGATGCCTTGGGGTTGTCACAGTCTGAGTTAAATCATTGCCATTTTCTGGGGTACTCTCATCAGAGTAGCTCAGCAGAGGGTTTCAAAGCAGAGAATTGTCTGCTGGTGAGGCAGTTCACAGCATTACTCTGAAAACAAACTGGCATGCTTGCACCTGGTTTAGTTGGAGTACAACATTATGACTTGACTGATCTAGTTCCAATGTGTTACGACATTGCACATATCGCAATGATAAACTGAATTGTAATGTAAAGCTGCCTGTTTGATGTGCTGTAATTCCACATTGCAGGCCACAGTAGTGCTGCTTAAGGCAGTGGCAAATGCCACCGTGCTCAAAATAGTTTCCTTAAATTGTTGGGTCTGATTCTAGTGCCAGTTCAAGGGACCCTTTAGCAGAAAGCTGAAAGTGAGTTGATTGTGGAGGGAACTGTTGTGGAAAAGAGGGAGCTTTGGTTTATTCCTTTAGTTCATGCTCTGTCTGAGTCTTGAAGACCAGATTCCTACTGCATGTTAGATGGCTATATAGAGCTGCTGCTTTTCTGAAATCCAGTCTTGAAAATGGCTAGTAGCCATTTTAGTCTCTTTACAGACCTCTACTGGTTCATCATGATAGCTAGTGCAAATGAGTAATTTTATTGATGATATGCTTATCTTTATTCTGTAGACAACCTCAGTACCTTGTAACAAGAAGATATTCTTGATATCTTGGTGTTCCTGTCAGGTTTCATTGGCTGCACAGATTGTATCAGCAGAGTGAAAAATCTTAAGCTTTCAACTGAAGTCTTCCTTTAGCTGATAAACATTAAATCACATCCCTGTAGCTAAGGGCAGTGCATAGCCTCATGTACCCACAGTACATGTCCAGAGTTGTCCTGGCAGCAGCTGAAGCAAGAGCTGTCACTTGCACTGTTACATCTACAAAGTCCTGAGTCTGACTGAGATTAACAGTTGCCAAAACATGATTTTTTTGTCTTGGGAGCTACAGGTCTGCCATGCAGTCGCTCAGCATTAAGTAATGCGAGAGGGACTTCAATTTTTAATATCGCCACTTTTCCTCACAGGAGCTGACCCTTCTCTGCTTGAAAGCCTCAGCAAGGCCAGGAGAGCTGCTGAGACAAGTCGTGCCCCTGCAGATTCTAGCTGCCACTCACCACGGTTTTTGTACAGGTTTTCCTGGACCACCCGCTACTTGCTGCAGTGACAGTAGCTGAGCTGGGCTTATCTCTCATGTTGGTTTTGTTTGTATTTGCAGAGATACAAGGCAGCGAGGCATCGTGCCACAGCTGCCTACCCCGAGGCTCCTTTGCATTCCCAGGGCTCCAGCTCTCAATTGCTGGATGATCTGAAACAGCCTCCTGCTACAACAGCAGATACCGGCAAGAAGATGAATGATGATCATGGGATAGACAAGGAGGGTACAGAGCTGTCAGGCCTGCAAGAACAAGCTTCAAGGTCTCTGGAGGGTAAGGGTGAGCTGGCCACCTCTGTAGCAGAGGACAAAAGCCTAGCCAGCGTGACTGACGATGCATGTGGAATCATGGTTGTAGAAGAAGAAAATCTACAGGAAGAGAGCAAGTCCACTACCACTAGTGCTGATTGCCCACTCCCTGAGGAGAGCCGCACTGTAGGGGAGTTGTTGGGACACGCTGTGTCTACGGAGAAGGAAGCCAATGAAGCCAGGCAAAGGGAAGGCACAGACGACTGCCAGGATCCAGGGAATGGAGGGGGTTTAGGACAGAACGAGGCAGCAACCACTGGCCAGGAGGCAGCGGCGGAGCCTTCCTCCCTAGCCAAAGGTGAGACAGCCAGTCTTACCTCTGCTGGGTGCAGACGCTCTACTAGGCGCAAACCCAGATAGAGTGGCCTTAAAGGGAGAGCCCTTTACATATGATATTTGCTGAAAATGTTTATTTTCGAAGTCTTTTAATAGAGCAAAAACCTTCAACTTTACTGCTGTTTTTATTTTAAGAATAAAATAAGCCTGGCTTTAGCGTGTCTAATACAGGATGGTGTTGGTTATTACTTGTACAGTTGTGATACAACAATTACATGGAAAGACTGAGGCTTGGATTGTTGAACTTGAAAGAAGATGGTAATGTGGTTTCCACGGGGGACAAAGTTCATGAAGTAGATAGATGCAGAGTTATTGAATTCTTTGTAGTTCCTCTCGTTTCCTTTCCATGCAGAGGAAAGGTTTATCTCTTGGGAGACTGTGTGCCCAGTTCTGCTCCTCAGAACAGTTTCCTTTCAAAGATGCACACTCTTGGACAAGCACTGTGTCCTAAGCTAGGCAAGAATGTGCATCTTGGTCCTCAGGCCTCATGCAGTCTGTTCTCACAGTGGAGACTCTCAGGAATAAATTGATTTTAATAAAACAGATTTCTTATAAATAACTTCTTTAACTTTCCAAAAAACTCCTTTAACTCTACAGCAGTAGGACTTGCTTCCCAGCACTGGCCCTAGGCCATCCTGACAAGACGGCAAAGCTTCAGACCAGAATGCTCCTGTGTACTCTTGTCAAAATGTACAGGGAGGACTCTGCTCACAGCCAGCAGGCCCCTGCCTCTTTGCTCTGTATAGCTAATGCTGTGGTGGTGGCTAACCAGGCTGCTCTGCCTCTCTCTAAAGACTGAGTCTTTAATGGCAGCTTAAGGAGTTAGGCAGCTCCTAGTTATAACAGTCAAAAACATCACCCTGGTAGCTTGTCTTGGTAGGGGACAGAAGAGTCCAGTGATCTCGGAGCATCTGCCAATATTTCTTATGCTACAGTCAATGTGAATAATGGGGAAGCTGTAGTTTCAAGGCAGGAGCTGGCCTAGGACCCCGCTCTCAAAGCCTGTCACCAGAGTCACACTTAGGGGCAAGCCAGGAATCAGGACAGCCCCTGCCTACAGTGCTTTTTGAGGGAAGAGGCTAGAGCCATAACACTCCTTTCTTGGATTTAACAAGTGCAAAAGAGGAGAGATTGTTTTTCCTCTTTGTGAAGAGGACCTGCCTGCAAATAACCTGCATGGCATCAGGTTTCCTACAGCCAGCTTTAACCAAGTGTCAGTGCCAGGCTCATGTGGGCGAGCAAAAAGAACCAACTCTCCTACATCCACCTGTGTGCTTCTGCACCTATCACACAGCTAAAGAAAAACAACATGTGGGTGAATGGCAGGACACAACCACGGGGAGGAACAAGTAATGGGCACGCGGTACCTCTTCTATTCAAGTTTTACGTTAAATTGGTGACCAGTAAATGTCCCCTTAGCAATGCCAACTGAGAGTTTGCGGCCAGCATGCTAGACAGGAGGCTGCGATCCCTGCATGTCAGCTTCCATATTCTGCTGCTCGCTCTGCTGCTGGAACTCTAGGCGGGTCTGGCGGTTGGACTCCAGCAGTTCTTTCAAGCAGGCGTGTAGATAATCATTCTTCTCCTCTAGGTGATCCAAGCAGGAGTTGATCTGATCCAGCATGGAGTTTATTGCTGCATATTCTAAAAGGAAGGGAGATGAGAGACTGAACAATGTGAGTATATTGTCACTGCAGTCAGCAAAGGCAGTCAGAGCTCTTGCAAAACATGCCCACAGCATTTTTGGCTGTGCCTTATCTGCCAGTGGGTGCGAGAAGTAAAATGCAACTGAATCCTGCATGTGTTGTGTTCACCGATCAAACAAGATCAAGGGGAAGCTGGAGGACTGGTAACAAGATCGAAGGCAAGGTACCTGCGGGCAGTCCAAACCTGTTCTGCACGTATCTGACAGCCTTTGATCTTGTACATAAATAGCTGACTGCAGGCTGAGCGCAAGCATGCAGCGATCCACACTGCAACAGTACCAAATAAACCCCAAGGACAAGCTAGCCTTTTTAGCTGCCTCGGGGATCATCTTTCCTGAGGAGGGTGCAGGCACTTTGGCAGTGTGCCGAAGTGTTTACTACATTCGGTGCGTTATTTGTGTGAGGCTCCCAGGCTGGGATGCGCTTCACAAGGGCCTGACTGGGGTCAGACTGCCAAAAGAGTACAGCCATTGCTGTGGTTTCAGGAATGAGCCTGAAGGTGCTGGTAGTGGCACCGTTACTTCCAAAGGGAGGTTAAGTGTGGGGCACCAAATGCAACGGCAGGATTTTCATGTACCATTAAGGCTTTGGATACTTCAGATTAAAACGAAACTCATTCAGGATGATCCTGACAGTTGGTTCCCTAGGTACAGTTTCTTATTCACAGCATTTGTTTCAAGCGTTAGCCTCGGTACAGTGGCATTTCACAGTGATGCATATTAGCACTGTTAATCAGATGAAGATAGCTGTGCTGCTGTGATGAAACGCTTGCTTTTGGATTGCTCCAAGAAATATTCACACAATCCTAAAGCATAACAACAAAAAAACCCCAACCCAGACAAGATAAACCTCTGCTGACAAGTCACTTGGTAACTGGAAGCCTGGCATCAGCTGAAACCCTGGGGGGGTTACAGGAGACCCCAGGCAGAGCGAGTCCCATGTTCCTTTCTGAAGCTGCATGGGCTGAGCAAGCGCAGGGAGGCAGGCATCAGGATGTGATCTGCAGGCTGACGTTTTTGAGGATCGTGGGCTGCAGGAAAGATGCCTGCGTGGGTGGGACAAGCCTGCACCTCACCAGCTGGGGCTGGCTCCTCTCCACCTGGCTCCTCTGAGCAGCTGGGGGAGCGTCAGAGCCAAAAGCGTGACACACGCGCTGCCTGGCTGGAGCGCTGCTCTGAGCTAGGGGAGAATACAGAGAAAGGGAGGAGGATGAGGATGTGCTCTGAGCACCCCTGTGCTATGGATGAGGGTCGAGCAGTGCTGAAATCCCCCAGCCTCACAAGCCCAACTTTGTCCCTCGCAGCTGCCCCCTTGGTGCTTTTGTAGGCAGGGTGCCCAGAGCCCCCTGCACACCAGGCCTGGGCACTGCCATTACTAGTGGCTTTAAAAGAACTGTGAATATTTAAATATTGCAATCATTTGCATTCTTAATAGCTAAGGAGAAGTTCCATTACAAAATAAAAAAATTGTCCTCCTTTTTTTATACTACTTTGGCGCCACTGACAGCAGTGTTGCAGCCTTCAATTCTTTGGAGAATTGTGTATGTTACTTTTAAGCTTGTTTATAAAAGTTTGGTATCGCAAGTATATGCAGAGGTGTCACTGTGAGCAAGATCGCCGTTGATGTCCTTGCATTTAAAAACCAATCCCACAGACACATTCTTTCCAAAAAGGCGGCAGTTATCAGTATTTTGCAAACTCTGTTTCAAGGAATGTGATACCTGAATCTCCATGAGTTAGAGCTCTTTACTTCAACCTAGTATTTGATGCACCACATTCCAATTAAAAAAAAAGGTGAGCAGATCCCAAGCACATACGGTAACTACTTCTGACAAGTAACTTTATTCATCAACTTGGCAAGAAGTCTGTAATCACAGCAGGAGCCTAATTGTTCTCAGTGTCTAGAGTTCAAGCAAAGGCTATAGCTGTTGTGCAGCTTTGGGAAGTGAAAAAAAAAAAAACAATTTAAAAATAATCTGTAAAACCATTTTATTTGATTGTCTTCTGTTTGTTGCAAGCGTGGTGTATTTTTGTGGAAACTTAACCACATCCCCTGATGAAAATGTTGACTGGGAGTATGGCAATCACATTGTTTATTCCTCTGCATTCTTACAAGAACAGTTGCCAAAACCAAGGTTTCCTATTTGAGACCAAGGAAGCGATCCACAGCTTCAGCTCCATGAGACCAGGAAATAGCTTTATAATCAGCTCCGGCACACAAAGCCCCAGCTTCTTACAAACTTCAACGCGGAGACTCGATGTAGATCAGATTTAGTAACTTTCTCTGTCACATCCAATGTGTCTCTTAGCTCTTCAAAAAGTATGAAACACAAATTGCTGTAACGATGCAAGACAGTGAACGCTCTTGGGGTGTTTCAGGGCAGAAATGATCCTCCTGTCACTGCAGGTGGATCACAGCCACAGCTCCGGGATTCCCCTGCGTGGGTCACATCTGGAAACTGAATGGTGTTTTGGGGAACAGTGTAACCCAGCTCTTCACCATTTTCAAGAGAAGAGTAGGAAAATGCTTACTCTGACAGATTTCCAATTTTAAGAATGACCCATACATAGACATGCCAGCTCTGCCATGGTCTCCCTTCTTCTATCAGCTTTGTCTAACTGGCTAGGACAGCATCAGAAATTTCACACCTAGGCACTGTAAAAATGCCCCAAAGTGGAATTTGCCAAGCTAATTGCATTAAATTCACTTTTTCCACCCAGGACTACTCCCAGCTCTGCCCACGTGATCTGTCCTAAGGTTTCAAAACCTCAACGTCCTCTTTCTCCTTGGTCAGCCGCACCCGGTGCACCAGCAAAAGCACAGAATCATATTTTCGCAAGGAAAAAAAAAATAAAAGATTTAAAAAAAAATAACCCCCGGGCAGCCCGCAGGAGCTCGGTGCTCCATCAATCCCA